GAATGATGAGCAAACTCTTCTACGGGGCCAGCACCCCTAGCGAGTGCTGATGAGGAGGAGTAGAGCAAAGAAGGTGCTGTTGGTGGGAATGTGAAGTGGCAAGGCCATTGTAGAAAGCAGTGTGCCCTTGAAAATCTGGAACGAGAACTACCCCATCTGACCTAGCTATCCCATTTCCGGTGTACATCCAAAGCGAGGGAAATCTGTGTCTTATAGAACGACCTGCATCCCCAAGTGTATTGCAGCATTGTTCAAGATATGGAATCAGGGCTGGGTATTCAGCTTGATTGCTGACCTAGTCTGCACAAAGCCAGATCCCCGGAACACATAAACACCGGGAGTGGAGGCGCACACTGGTAATCCAGGACTTGGGAGGTGGGGGCAGAAGATCAGGAGTTCCAGGTCATTCTCAGCTTCATAGTGATTTTGAGGACAGCCAGAGGAACATGAGAGCCTGTCTAACCAAAACAAAAACTAAGCTAAACTAAACTGGAAAATCCAGGGGCTTCAGAGATGGCTCAGGGATTAAGAGTTCTTACTGCTCTCTAGAGAACCCAAGTTTGGGTCCCAGGACCCATATCAAGTGGCCCACAACCACCTGGCTTCCAGCTCCAGGGAGACTGATGGCCTCTCCCAGCCTCTGTAGGCACCTGTATACACAAGTCCCAAACACACACAGAAGCATAAACCAATAATAAGCCAAAACAATGTATAACCATCCTAGTTTCGCTTCTGTTGCTGTGACAAATACACCAACCCAGTGTAACTTTGGGGCAGGAAGGTTTTACTTGGCTCACGATTCTGGATTACAGTCCATCATCGAGGAAAGTCGAGGCAGGAGCCTAAAGGCAGGCCTGACTGCTATCCAGTAAAGTATTTCCTCTAATCAGGGAAGTCACAGCCAAGGAAATGTGGCAGGAATCACAAAAGATATTGCTGGCAGGCAGGCCATGATCAACCTTTTCTTTCTTTCCCTGGATATGGATATGGATATATATATATATGTATATATATATATATATATATATATATA